CTTTTTCCTTGACTTTGTCTGGTTTCTGGGCAACCAGGACTGACAGATTCGACTAACGTACATCAGACAGTGACTAATGGGCAGAGGTCCTACGGACCGCCCAGACAAATAAATAACGAATAGTATACCACATTAATCTGTCTCTCAATTTCTTCTGTCACCGATATTTGAACGTCCATTCTTCGCTTTATTTCATCGTTTCTGATTTTCTGTAGCCTTGAAACTTCTTCGGAAGAAATCCATTTTTGTCAACTCTACTCTTTGTCTGTCCCGTTTTATCATTTCCCATACCTCTGATCCATATAGCAGAATTTAAAAACATTTTTTTGCGTGTAAGATTCAAGAATGCCGGATCTCTTTCACTTGCAAGCAATAAAGAACAACTGAAGTGGCAGCCATTCTGCTGGAGCACTCTTATCGGTCCGAAAAATCTGTCCTACTGTTACCACTCATGAGGGTATGACTGTTTCTCCATGTGTGCAAAGTATAGTTCCAGTGTTCGAACGTAAAATGCTCTAGCGCGATACGCGACGGAGATATATTATACTAAGTGACATATCAATCTGAACACCCAGTTTAAATGGTTTTATTTTAATAAAAGTTGGTGAATGCATTTATCTTACTGTAAATAACAAGTGAAAAAATTGTCAGCCTTATCAGTTGGACATTCCGGTTTTTATACTGCTTTTTTTTAATTCACTAACGCTCTAAAAATGAATATTTCAGCCGCAGTAAAGAATCAACGTTGGCGGATTTTGGTTCTTGACATCCTTTACGATCGGTTACGATGCCTAGAGTACGGAGACCTGTACGATTTCGTCAACTTAGTGAGTTTGATAGGGGCCGTATAGTGGGACTTGGGGAAGCTGGACTTTCTTTTCGGGCAATCGCAGTTAGAGTGCAAAGAAGTGTAGACACTGTGGTTAGGTGTTGTCAGGCATGGCTTCGAGAAGGCCGTACGCAAAGAGCAAGGGGCACTGGACGCCGCCGTAGAACAACAGACCGTGAAGATCGCCGCCTAAGATTATTGGCCTTAAGGGACCGTTTCTCCACTACCAGGTCCATTGCAAATGAATGGTTTGCAGAACACGGAAGACCTATTGGCATGCGAAGTGTTTACCGACGAATGAGAAGTTTTGGCTTGTTTTCATATCGGCAACACTGGGTCCTCCCTTTAATTCGAGAATACCGACGTAATCGCCTTGAGTGGTGCAGACAACGGTCACTCTGGGATCAGGAATGGAACAGTATTGTCTTTAGTGACGAGTCTCGATTTTGTTTAGGCATGCAGGATGGTCGTGCCAGGGTTAGAAGGCGACGTGGTGGAATGAGGAATCCACAGTTTTTTGTTGAAAGACATGTTCATCACACTGTTGGAGTTATGGTTTGGGGTGCTATAGCTTATGGTTCCAGGTCACCTTTAATCTTCATCAGACGTAACATGAACGCGCAGCGTTATATCCACGAAGTTCTAGAACCCCATCTTTTACCCTATCTTGACACCCTGGCAGATCCAACTTTCCAACAAGATAATGCCCGACCACATGTTGCAAGAGTTACAATAGACTTCTTTCAACATAATGATGTCACATTGTTACCATGGCCACCAAGATCTCCCGGCTTATCCCCAATTGAGCACGTGTGGGATATGATGGGTAGGAGATTGCTCAATTTGCATCGTCCTCCTCAGACTCTAGAAGCACTTCGAGAGGAGTTGGTGGTTGCCTGGAATGAGATACCACAGGAGGACATTGACCACCTGATCAGAAGCATGCCTAGGCGCGTTGGAGAATGCGTAGCACATCAGGGTGCATCCACACATTATTAAAGGTCAAAGGGCTTAAAAGCAGTGCAATCATTTTGAAATTTTTATCATTTACTTAATGTGCTTCATTAAGTACTTATACAAAATTTTATTAAAATAAAACCATTTAAACTGGGCGTTCGGATTTATATGTCACTTAGTATAATTGTGGGATGATATTAGAATGTAGAATCCATACCATACTAAGAAAAATATAAAAGCACGACGTGGGTAGAAGAGGTGTAGATTATGCTGGCACACTTCGCACCGTGTTGCTACTGACACTCTTATAGTATAGGCGGTAATTCTTTACGTTCAGATACTGTGGCAGAATTGGTAACTCAGAAACTACACAAATTCCACAGAACTATTTCCTACATTCGAGAGTCTTGTATCCTGGATTCTCGACCCAATTGTATTTTTTGTACCTTGAACGTGATTATATTCAGCTACTAGGACCAGGACGTACTTCTACGTGTTGAAACATATAATAAGTAATAATAATCGTCTTTGTTAATTTAAATTACAAAAGGTGAGATTTAGGGTAAAGCTACTCTTAAACCTAGGCTTCAGCAGCTGTTGTGTAATTTCAAATTAACATATTTTTACATCACACATTTTATATTATTTATGTCTTTACATAACTAAATATTTTTAAATTGCTACCCTAAATTGCCATAATGGTAATGTTTTAACTTCGAAATGGAGTGCATTCAAATGATACGTAACGTCTCTATAGAAAATACTTGTTTAGCGGGAAGGCATAGCCAAAGATAAGTAATCTAGATTATGAAAATTGGATCTGAAAATTAATTTGCTTTTTAGATATGAACGAGATGTGTACTGGTTAATTGATTTATGTACAAAAATGAATGAACCACATTTAAAACTAACGGAGATTTTAAAACAATTTAAATTCCCAATTTTCTCAGAAACATGACTATATTTTCTTGGTCCATGAATGAATCGATAATATGTATTTTGAGCCATTTGAATTCTGTTTCTACTACTTGGAGTAGTCCAGTGATATTATTCTCGCATCTAATATTCCACCACGTGCTCTGATGACGCCATCTACTAGATTTAAAAGTGCTGTTGTAGTGGTATAATTTCTGATACTGATATTCAGGTGTAACTTAAGAATTCTTAAAATCAAGTCGAAGGTCATTTGGGTGTTGTGAGATTCTTTACAATGTTATTTTGACGTTTTACCAGTAAAATACCAGTTGGCTAATGCTGTATTCCCAGGTCCAAAAAATCAACCTAGATAAAATTAGATATCCATGAGAATTTGTCACAGCTGTTTCTCTATTTACTATATATACGAGACATATACGAGCCCCTTCCCACTTCAGTTGGCCCACTTCAAGATTTGTACCAAAATAAGCTTTATAAACTAAACATGACGAAACTATTTACTTCTAAAACAGTTTATTTTCTCAAAAACATTTTAGATACACTCTAGTCGTAAAAGATACATATTTAAAATCACTTAGACCTATAACTAATAGAACATCTGAACAAATAACGAATGTGCGAATAAATGCGCGAAGTTAACAAAGCAACAATTGAAAGATTACCATTTACCTTTATTTTTTATTACGGCTGAAATTCTTTGGGGCATAACGTTAACCAAGTTTTGGCAAACATTTGGTGTAAAACAATCCCATATTTCCTGAAGCTTTTGTCTCAGTTTGGTGATTGTACGAGCAGGATGTTGTCGTAGAACCTTTTTCATCTCGTGCCACAAAGTTTCAATAGGTGACAGATCTGGACTGCTAGAAACCCATTTCAAAAGTGGTACATTATTTTCTTCCATCCATGTTATAGCCTGTTTTGAGGTATGGCACGCTGCACCATCTTGCTGAAACACAAAATCTTGGCCGGATGTCAAACATTCTTCCATCACTGGTAAAAGTGATTCTTCTAAAATTGCCAAATATTTGTTTGTATCCACATTTCCATCGATAAAATGAAGTTTTCCTACTCCTTTTGATGACATACTGCCCCAGACCAGAATGGATGCTGGAAATTTCACCTTTCTCTTCAGACAGTCAACATGGAATGCTTCATTTTTTTTGTGAATAACTCAACTGCGACTGTCACCAACACAAACTTCGAATCGGGCCTCATCACTCCATTGTATTGCACACCATTGTTGAGGTCTCCATTGTCTATGTTCTTTAGCTCATCTAAACCGATTTTTCTTTTGCAGTGGAGTTAATAGTGGCTTTTCTTTGGCCTATAAACAAGTTGTGCAACTTTAGGGTTTTTACTTCACTTTTTTTTATAAGAAAACTTACCTTGCAAGTGCTAAATCCCAGTTTGTGGGCCTCTCTATGAGTTGTGAACCTCGAAATTCTCCTTTCAACAGAGCACTTAATTGTAAATTTTTCACGATTATTCTTCTTAATGCTCTTCGGTCGGCATTTGTGATATTACTTTTATTCACATATCGTGGCTTAATATTAACTGGTCCAGTTACGTTATATCTTCTAACAATATTTCTCACACTGTACCGCGATAAGTCTAACAAAGTTACAATTTCTGACTTTGATTTCCCAGAATTAAAAAAATTTAATTATCAGTAACCGAAATTTCTCACTAATAATCTTTCCTCTACCCATTTTGAAAACCTTAACTACCCAAAACTATTTTAACCCGACAGCGGTCGCACCCCCAAAGTATATTAATCAGGTCGCTGCGGGTCATGGTGACCCGCTAATGTTAGGCCCTAAAAATTTAGTATAAACAATAAAATTGCTTTATTATTTTTTTAAAGATTTTATTTGCGAAGGTAACTAAAGCATATAACCTAACATTGGTATAGAAAAACCTTGAAATCTAAAAGTTAGGTATCTTTCAAAAAAATAGCTAAAAAAAGTTTTTTTTGCATTGGTCGATTAATTTTTATTTCAAAAAAAATCCTACTTTAAATAATGAAAAACATAAATCTATTTTTTCTGCTAATACTAAATTAAAATTTATAACAAAAAAATATCTCTGAAACCATTTATAAACTGTATTTATTGCGTGCCCATTTCTAAGGAGTATTTTTCAGACAATTCAGGCATGTAAGTTTGCCATGATTTCCACAGATATATATTTTGCAAATCGCACAAGTATGATAAGATTTGTTACCAGTTCTCGCACATAATTTACATATGTTCCTTTTTCTTGAATCTTGTTCTGCTTGCTACTCTTCGGCAGCAGCAGGTTCACCTTCCTGGAGAATTTCTATAATGTTGGTCCTGATAAACTTGGGAAGATTTGCAATTTGCAGTCGAGATCGCATGTATGGAGAAACAAGTTCCTTGGTTAACTCTTTGAGCCAAGTTCTTCTCATCAAGCGCTGATCCCCTTTTTCATTGTACGATGATATGCCAAAACTATTGACCCCAACCACATCCAGAAGATGAAAAAAGGCTGAAAGGGGCCATCTGTTGGTTTTCCTGGCTGTTGAGTATGCGCCACACATCTCATCTACTACATCAACCCCACCCTTTGTGCAATTGTAAAATGTGATAATCTCTGGTTTTCGGGCGGCACCACTATCAAGATCAATTGTTTTACCATGGTGCATAGTGGACAACGGAACAACAAACTTGCCCTTTTTTGGTAGATATGATACCAGCGTTGTACTATTTTTTCCAAAACCAAAAACAAACGAGCTCACCTCACGTCTTTGCTTTTTATAAAGCAAGTAGGAAGCTGTGGTTTGGTTTTTCTGATGGTTCCTACTTACTTAGACACCAAAATACCGGTAATAAACAATAGAACCAAAAATAGTCGCAAAATAATATGACACCGAAAACAGTCGCTGCGTGTCACGGTGACCCGCAAGAGCTCCGTTCAAGTAGACAGCTCAATGTAAACAAAGCAACATGTACTGAGTTTTGTAGATAAGTAGTTCATAGGAAGGTACCTACAGTATATTCAGATAAGAGATAGACCGGACATAAACAAGACCACGTGATCATCGAACGCTGTAACATTCGGCAGGGACGTATAAAGAGTCACGCAGTACATATTTTAGATAGTAGATGCTGCTTTGCGTAACTTTGTAGTAAATTTGCACAATTCGATGTGTATACGATTGGTGATGGATATAGGATCATGTGGGGGTGGGGTAAGAAATATATAATGATGTAAATATACATAAGGGTTTCAAAATTTTCGCTTCGATTTCCAGCTTCGGATGCCGCCTGATGTTTGGTGAAATACAGTCGAATATAATCTCAAAATGGCGTTTAAATTAGCCTAAATTAAAAATAATCGTATATCTCTTAAAATTGCTTTTAGAATATTGATTAGTATATTTTTTGATTTCTAGGTAAATATGTAACCAAATTAAAACGTTCAAAACGTAAAAAAAATGTGCATGGTTGAACATTGTCAGAAAGTAGATTCTTGAATAGGTTTTGCCAAAATGAGTTCAAAAATGTCAATAATTAATTAAAAAATACAGTAGCTTTATAATTACTTATAACTTACCGAATTTGATGAACGACATCTTTTATTGGAAAGATGAGCTTGATGAGCTTTCATCATCGCTACTGCCTCTAGCACCAACGTCAATAATGAATGGCTCGACTTGTTCCTCTAACATATTGTCCAGTTCCCACATTCTCTTTTCAACTTTGTCTTTCACGTGCTTAATACAGTTTTCCCATTTTTGCGCTGTTATTAATTCTAGTGCTTCTTCGAAAAGTCCTTTGAGGTCACAAAATTTAAAAGTTGTATTGTGCTTAGCTATATAATTTTTAACCTCTGCCCATATGAGCTCAATGGGATTGAGCTCGCAATGGTATGGAGGTAAACGGAGCACAGTTTTATTTTGACTTGCTGCCATTTCGTCAATGACGTATTTTTGATATTCCGCCTTGTGATCCTTGACAATTCTTAATAATTGTACTTTCAGCATTGCTTCTTCAAAGTTGATATTTTTCGAGCGGAGCCAATTTTGAACATCAACTTTCCTTGAAGCCGTTGTTGGGACCTTCTCCATTCTTCGAGAATGATAAGGCGTATTATCCAACACAATTACTGCGTTTTCCTCTAAGTTCGGTAAAATTTTTGAAAACCACTGTTCAAACGATTCGCCATTCATTTCCTCGTGGTAATCTCCAGTTTTCTTAGACTCAAAGCACCACAGACCGTCAACAACAAATCCATCCTCACTGCCAATATGGCAGATAATGAGCCTTTTCCCTTTACCTGGAAATCGAAGTACTAACTGGTGTAGATTTATTTCAATAAGCGAACCTTTTTCAAATGTTTTCATCACATTCAGCGAAAAAACATTGAGACATGAGTATCAGATTGCTATAATTGGGATTATTTAGTCATATTGAAAGAAAGAATATTGAACGTCGTATGATTACTCAGCGCTTCACAATTTAATTTAAAGTTATAAACCTTTAAAAAATGAATGATCAGGAACCTGAAATACGCGCAAATATTAATATTAACAAATTATAACTTTATAAAGCTTAAAGTATGAATTAAAATGATTAGAAATATTAGGAACGGTACACAATATAAAACTTAGTAACTTTTTTAAGTTTATAATATTCGACATATTTTAAGATTATATTAAACAATTATTGAAATATCGAAAACACATAAAAACATGGCTTAAAAAAGTTCTAACAGATGAAAATGACAATAAAACATCCACGCATTTTATCGAAAGTTATAAAAGTTTTGTTACTTGTAATATGTTTTATCTGCCCCCTGGAATTAATGTTTAGAACCTTGTTCCCAAGGTTTGAAAAACATCCGATTGTTGTCTATTACTCGTATTTACCTGCTGGATTTTTTAATCCGGTGGACAGTCCTTCTAGAAAGGCCCTCCTGGATGAAGTTACAGAATCATCAATCCATACTTTACTTGTAGTGTGTCCTGCGTTTGCCCACGTTTCATCAAGGTAATAAATCTTCCTGTTTTGATTTCTATATTTCCCAATTTTTGTTAAATAATCCCTCCTCCATAGCACAATTTCTTCTCTATCCAGTAGTAAACTATTACGACCCCGTTTTTTCCATTTGAAATTTAAATGCTTCAGTAACGCATGGAAAGTTGATCGTTTGAAATTTGGCAACGTTGTATCTCCATTTACCTGCTGCAGTACTTCTATAGTAGGTATTTCATTCCTAAAGAAGAATTCATGCACTTTCCTCCTAATCGCATGCTTATCAGCTTCATCCAATGATTTAACAATACTTTTGCGATGTTTACTGGTCATTGGTTCAGAAAAGGTGTGATTTTTTTTGTATTGTCTTAACACATTAAACACTGATGCGCGACACACCCCAACTTTGTGAGAAACCTTCACACCTGATGGTTGATGCCTCGTTCTCCTCGTGCTCGATCTTATATATATTCAAAATGACCTCTTTCATTTCTGCACTCAGGTGTCTTTTTTTAGAGCATTTCCTAGGTGGACTACAGGAGTTTACAACTTCATCGGCAGTATCTGTACTACTGGGCATTTTGCGCAAGCAGTTGATAACAATAACAATCAATAATAAGGTATAACAATAACAACGACAAACTCAACAACTTAATAAGATAACAAACGAAAACGTCCAAAGAAATATCAAATTGCAATGATGCACACGACATACGTAACACGTCTGAACCTGAATGTGACTCTGCCTTGATACGACTGCTCTGCCGCTCGGCATAGGCATTCAATTGCGAATTGACCAATGAGGGCTCCTATTTTACGTCGAGACGGCGGCGTTAGCGTGAAAATCACCCGAACCTTTTGTTTACATCCGGTCTATCTCTTATCTGAATATACTGTAGGGAGTGATAAAGTTGGTGTTTTCTACTATATATTATCAAAATATTCATTGTTAATATTTTAAACCTATAACACCCTGCTACATTTTTATTATTTGTGTTTGATAAGAAAAAAAACTAAGATTTCAATAGTTGGGCCAACTGAAGTGGGAAGAGGCTCGTATACCTTAAAAAGTTCTGTTTCATAGCCAACTATATAAGCATATACGAGCATATGGCACACTAACCTTTTCAAAATACATATAGTAAATACAGAAACAGCTGCGACAGATTTTCATAGATACGCTACGGTATCACATTCTATCACGGGTGATCTTTTGGACGCAGGGATGTTCTAGAGGAAATGCTCAAATCAATATTTAGTAGCGATTTTTGAAATATCCGAGTATCAGATCAAATGTAGCTGCAATATCAATCATCCACTGTCTGATGAATTTTGTCAGCTACCGCGTGTACTAAGGCGATCACATTTCTAAAACTGGTTTACGAGCTGGAAGCAATTTTCACTTTTTAAATACTGCCGCGCAACACGTCCTTTGCCTAGAAGGATCTAAACTTTCGTTGATCCACAAATGCTACGCCCAGTGGTGTAATTTTCATATATGTAATTCATATTTTTTTCATCGTCGGCGCCTTCGTAATTGCTACGATTTTTTCGCTACCGTCAGTCAGACCACTCTCACTTTCATTATCAGGGTAATAAGTTTTGTTCTTATGCCTAATTTGAAGTTGAAATATTTTGGCGCATTGTAACATGATATAGGAATGCAAAACCGTAACGGTTATTCTTAAGCACATGTGAATTATAAATTAAATTTCATTGAAGCAAGCTTGTATAGAGGAATGTTTGTAGGTAAAAGTTTTGAGCTGATTTAGATTAGTAGGTCATATCGAGGAGGTCTAAATAAACGCCTAACTTTGACAGTCAGTCCGCCATTTTGAAGGATAATGATTTCATATTCTAGGGCAGTACTAAAAGAAAGCTTTAAAGCGAAGTAGAACATGGCTCCCCATTCCATTCAAAAATTTATTATTTTCATTAAGCATGCTGCTTCCTCTAACTGACCACAGACAACCAACCATGGACAGCTGTTTAGTGCTTTTTGGTGACTCATCAGCATGATCCAGGCTTGATCTTTGGAACAACGAACGAGAACAGCAACTACAGTGGACCTCCGGTAATCCGACAAACATTATGCAGGGCAGTGTCGGACTATCGAATTTGTCGGATTATAGAGCACTGCCTAAGACCCCCTATAGTCCGGAATTTTTTACAAAAGAGTACCTTGTACTCCGACAAATTACATATCCAATGGTAAGATTATATATGTTATGTATATGTATGTACTTTGAAGTACAAATCATACATAGTTTATGTATGTCGAATTTAGTAAATTAAATAACAATAGAGAGCTTACGTTTTATTATAAAATTAAGCATAAATGCACATACATATGTACCAAAATAATCAAGAATTATTAATCAAAATCATTAATGAATTTATCAAATAATAAAGCTTGGAAATATTCATCAATTTTTTTTTGTTTAAGGTTGTTATAACGCGAGATCAGAGCTTTTTCTCTCAGTCTTCTCAAAAGTAAAAGTTCGTTGTAGGATGTACCATTCTCTTCAGCCCATTGTAAACCTAGCTCCAAGGTGTTAATTGCGTCTTGTGCTGTGACTTGTGGAGCAGTTGCAATCACGTCGTCGTTATTTTCCTGATTGTTTGTTGTATAATTAGAAACCTCTTTTATAATCTCTTCGTCAGACAT